GAAATTACTTTACATTAAATAGTGCATTATCACATGATAATTGTACTGGGTGGCCCAGTCCATTGAACTATAAACCCAACCCGGCCCGGCCCGGCCCGGCCCGGCCCAATAAACACAGGCCGGGTCCATGCCGGGCCTATAAGGTAACGGGTCGGGTCGGGCCAGGTTATAAATTAACGGGTCGGGTTCATGCCGGGCCTATAAGTTAACGGGTCGGGTTCGACCCGGCCCATATATTAATGGATCAGGTCCATACCGGGCCTGTAAGTTAACAGGTCGAGTCCGAGCCCACAGGTACTCGGCCCGATCCGGCCTGTTTCGGACCTAGTTCTACGTATAGAATAGGTGCTGAACTCTGCTAAATGTCACGTGAATATATTAAAAATTAATGATTACTAATCAACAGTGGTACGTAATAAATATATATTAATAAATATATATTGATATATATTACAGAATACCAGAAGTGCAACAATAGAATTCCCACCTTCCTACCCTGCATTCAGAATGGCTTATGCCATTAAGGCCAATAAACAACCACAATTGAATATTTCACAACCAACATCTACAATTTCTTCAGTTCCAACCCTTCATGAGTTTTTTGTAAAACTAAATAAAGATTATGATGCCGGTGATAATGATTATTTAAAATTGGAAAGGCATTTGCAAGAGAAAAACTAACCGTAAATGGTATTAAAGATTTAAACGACGAATATCTAAAGGAAGAACTAGGGGTTACAAAACGCAGATGGCTAATAAATATTAAACAAGCAGCAAGTAAATATTAATGCAGTAAGTTATATATATATAAAATGTGGTTCTAAACCATTAATACCTTTTATTTTAAAGATTTTATCTTTTTTTTACCTATTATAATGTTTTTAAAATTTTTAGCACAAATTTTCATGTTGGGTTAATATTTGTATTAGAATGAGAGTTTAGAAAGAGTTTTGGGGGATATAAACCAATTTTACTTAGAGTATCGTATAATAATTAATTAGGCCAGTTATGCGTTTTATATTAAATAAAATAAATAAAAGCAAATATTTTTGCATGATCGTTATCGTTATGGTTTAAGAAAAAAAAAGCCCAAGTCTTTAATAGGGGGTTTCAAAGTTAACAAGTAAGTGGCATATTTTGAAATAAAATGAGTGTTTGAAAAATCTTAATTGTTTTTCAAGACTTAAAATTAGAAAATGAAATGAGTGTTTTGGAGATCCCACATTGTAAAAAAATAATAAAAAGTAAAACTTCCGTTCAAATTCAATTAAATTTAAATTTCCATGGTTTAACTTTGAAACCCTCTAATGCTAATATCAAAACTTTATTAATTAAGAAAACCAATATAATTCCTAAGTAAAAATAAACTTATACATACGTACGTACATATGTACTAGGTACCATATCCATGGAAATTTTCTATATACTGATACCCTGTATATTAGGTAATAACCTTAATTTTATAGCCTGGTCAAATAAAAAAAACTTATTCTAAATAACCTGATCCACGAAAAAAATTTGCTACCATTTTGGGTGTGATTTGTGCGCATGCTACCCTAAGCGCATAAAATGGGTCTGTTACGGCATTCATAAAATCTCTATACCTCCGGATCTAGCTTTTTACAGTACTAAAAGCTGTTTCAATTGGGTTAAAATCCGGAGAATAGGGTGGTAAGAAAATCACATAGCCCCCCAGTTCTTTCACTATTTCAACAAAATTCATATTTTGATGAATCGTTGTGTTATCAAGAATAATAACGCTATTTCTTTTTGGGAAGACATTCATCATGGGAACCTATTATTAAATATATATATAATTTAATTAAATTCTATATTAAAGTTATCTGTACTAATATTATTAATTTGATCACATGACCATTTATCACCAAAATCAACTTACTACTTGGGTTAAAATAAATTCGTAGAACCGCTCTTTATCACAACTTCCTTCCATAATATCGACTGCTAGAAAACCATCTAGTAAAAGAGCAGGTAGGATTGTATACCTTTGGCCGTGAATAAAAACAGTCTTTTTGCGTACACAAACATTTATAGGCGCATAGCCATAACGTTTATTTAGACTACGTTCATCTTTTGCAGCTTCATCTATGAAAATTAACTGGTCTGGGCGATAATTCACCCCAATTTTGGCAAGAAAAGCGCTTCATAAAAGCTCATTTCTTTCAGAGGCCATCTTGTATAGCTAATTAAAAAATCAAAAAATTATACTACTATGGTTTCATTAACTCTTAAAATTAATTACTATTGTTATAGAGTAAAGCCTTCTTAATTTACTCTATAATGACGACACGGCACAGGGAATCCTTTCATAGGTATATGTGGTGTCTCAAGAGGTAAGTATAGCTTCTTTTATCTTTAAGAAACTATACACTTCTCTAAAGCAGTTCGTGGGGAAATACAATAACAATAATAACTTATTAACACAAGAGAGAGATAAACCTTGCCTG